GTTTATATAAGGAAAACATGTCTAATTTATAAGTTTAATGTGTTACTCCTCCTTTCACCAATTAATTTTGGAATGGAACCTCACTTGGGCTTCACCTGAACTTTCCCTGCTTTTGGTGCGCTTCGCGTGCATGAGACCTCACCCGTGCAATGACGTACCCATTTCCCACCCGTTTCTAGTAGGAATTGGGCACTCGGCTCCGTGTATGAGCTTGTGCTTTTTATGAAGGACTCACAAGTAGGAGACGTATTAGAATATTCAATTGTGAGTTGTCCCACATCGTTTATATAGAGAAAATAGACCTAATTTATAAGTCTAATGTGTTACTCCTCCTTCCACTAATTGGTGAACCTCACTTGGGCATTCACCTGGACTTTCCCTGCTTTTGGTGCGCTTCACGTGCGTGGAACACACCCGTTTTTCTCCCGTTTCTTACACTTTCTTTTTGTGCTTGTTGTAGGGTTTCCTTTTCTCCACCCAGTGAGCCGCCGAGTTCAGAGTTCATGGACGAAGAGCTAATCAATAAGTTATCGGAGAAATACGCAAAAGTGATAGATAATGGTCTTGTTTGGTAATCAGCGGTTAGCTGTTAGTTGATTACATTAGCTGTTTTGACCAGCTGATTGTGTTAGCTGTTTTGACCAGTTGATTGTGTTAGCGGTTTGTAGGTAAAATTAACTATTTTTAATTCGTTGTTAACATGTAAAATTACTTATAAGGAAATCAACATACCTTATCATTCTAAACTACGTTGAACTTATAATTATTTAGGAAATAAAAATAATTAATATTTTAAATATTTATTAAAGTTATTTAAATTTAATAAAAAATAAATAATAATAAATTAAAAATATTTTTTAATCGAGTAAATAAGTTCAGGTCACATAAACAAAGCCAATAACAAGTCATGACTAATTAGAATTATAAATGTGAGTCAATTACAATATCTGCTATTACAATCAAAAACAAAAATAAAAGAAAAGAAAAAAAAAACTAATGCTCTAAGAACGACGTCTAGATGACATCAAACTTGAAGTTATATTATTACGAACATTTGTTATCTCTCGAGTCCTCATTTCCCCATCACCTTGTGTAGAATTAATTTTAACATCTTGGGAAACATCAGGAGGTATGAACTCAAGATTCGCATCAATAACTCTAAAGTTCGGATCACCAATTGTGCTTCTTCTAATATAATTGTGAAATGCAAAACATGAATAAATGATTCTATTTTGATCCGTTAATCTATATCTCGGCATTTTATGCAGTATCTTCCATCCTTAATAACACCAAAAGCTCTTTCAATGCAACTTCTTAAAGATGAATGAGCCCGTTTAAAAATTTCTTGTGATCCCCTCGGATTTGAACTACGAAACTCAGATTGATGATATATTGTCTTGGTATAAGGCGTTAAATAACCTTCTCTTTCTGGGTAGCCTTCGTCTACCAAGTAATATTTACCTAAACGTACACAAATTATACTAGAATTAAAATTATATATCTAAGACGTGTTAGTGAGAGAGAGAGAGAGAGAGTGTGTGTGTGTGTGTGTGTGTGTGTGTGTGAAATAATGCATAGAAATGATAAGTATAAGATACCTGATGGAGGTTTCAAAAAATTGAGATTTGGATTATTAATCGTATCAAGAAAAATATGAGAATCATGTGTTGATCCCTCCCATACTGTTAAAACATATGTGACCAACAAATCAAAGGCACACACTGCCAAAACATTTGTAGTCGGTACCCTTTTTCTTCCCCTGTAGCGAATTTGATCCTTTGATCCTCTTCAGGTACAGTTATCGCAATATGTGTACCATCAATAGCTCCAATACAATCCTAATATGACACAATCTATTATCATCTTCTTCAATAGAAAAAAATAATAATAAAAAAATAAAAAAATGAGAAAGTAACGAAAATGTTACCTTAAAATGTGGTATATATCTATCATCATTGGCAATATGTGTTGGAACATCCTTGAACTCGTGATCTTTTGGTACAAGTATATTTCTTGAAAAGTTATCCATAGAATCTAAAACTTGTTTGAAAATTCTACATACGGTTTCACCAGAATGTTGAAAGTGCTCTTAAGTATCTCTATTTAAAGCACCCTTACTAAGTACATAGAAATAACCCCACTTTTTCTAAAACTGACATCCTATTTGATGATCGTAAACCGTATCTATTCTCTAAATCTAAACATAATTGGCGAAATATGTTCTGGTTCATTCTAAGAGCATTAAAAAATCGTTTTTCATGGCCGCTCAATAATTCACTTATCCATCTTTCTTGTTAAAAATAATGTCATGCACGGTTCCTTATATATATAATTTAAAAAATACCAATATGCATAACCTTTAGCACAAGTCATCACATCTCAAAAATTATCTTCTTCTTCCAAGTACTCCAGGCAGTGGAGATATTGTTGTTCGTGCAGAAGAAGTTGCTTAATTTTAATGTCATTACTTTCCATGCCTGCAAAAATTAGAATAAAAAAATTATACCAATTTTAGAAAAGTAACTACATAGATTAACAAAGTTAATTGTAGCAAATACATATACCAACACAAAACCATCAATAGACAATCATGCAACACTATCATACAACCCAAAAGCAATGTCCAGGAAATGAAAAAGAACACATCATTTAGGATCATACAATCAAAAAGGAAAGATTAAACTTAACTATTTGTTTTCTTATGCTCCTTATACATATAATATATTCAACCCTACTGCAATCCAAAGAAAATAGTTCTTTTTGTGGAAGTTCGAACATCGTGCAAGCAAAGAAAAATTCTGGCGAAGTAGCTGTCAAATCCGAAAGAGTGCATTTGTTAAATTTTCACAACAGTTACACCCACCCCATATAGCAGCTTCACCTTCATTTACCCTCACACCACAAACTTGGAACAGTGCAACCTTCCTCTTTTGCCCATTTTTCTAGTTTTCTCCGATGGCAACTACCAGTACCAATGGTTCACGAGTTGAACTTGTGACCGTCATGCACTGAGAGTGCCAGCGCAACCTCGCGGTTCACCTCGATGAATACATCCTCAATGGGTGTTCCTCGAAATATTCACAACTCTTTAAGTAAAATCTCACTCATTGCAAAAACTCACCAATTTCAAAATCTTATAATCACCTTATAAATTGCATTTGTCAGATTTTCATTGAAAGTTAATCAAGCAACACATAGCCAGCCGAGAGAGAACTGGAAAAAATAAGTAAAGCTGGAAAGGTCGATATCTTTGGACAGAAAAGTTGCATTTCAGAGCATCTCTTTGACAGTATACTAACCACGATCATCACAAGTAGTGTAGATAATGCTAGGAGACACCTGATGCAAGAAATTGAGGAGCTTAGTAGCTTATTGATTAGAAGGCTTACAACATACTATACTGTTGGGTCTCTTTCAGAAACTATAGTACGAATGGGATAACAAGTTTTTAGTTAAAGTTGAAAATAGCATAAAGAAAGCTGTAGTTATTATATGTAAAGTTAGTTCATGTTTTGTTTATTTAATTCGATTCAGACTATTATAAGTGGTTTGTATGTTATTCAATTTCAGTATTTGTTGTGTGTATATGGCAGGTCATATCATTAGTCTCTCCATAGAGTAGCCGCGCCAGTTGCAACAAATTTTTTATTACATTTCGTAATTTGATTCCACAAAGTCTAATTCCTATGTAGTTAGCAACTCTACTGAACATGATACATTGACGACCAAGAAAAATCATATTTACATATAACAAGCTTGATGCAGTTTAAACTTGCACAAATTAAGGATAAAAGAGTAATATGTTTTTCACTTCTTTGTTCACCCTGTACTTTTGTGCTTAGGCTTTACACATTTGTCAAATAATTGTATTAGTCAGCTAATAATGATTATTCTTACATTTAACGGACATTTACGGCATACGTACAACAAGTGATTGAGAAAAATCATAAAGGACAATCTTACTTAAATATGCGATGGTATCAAGTACTTACTAGCATATTCGCTGCAAATACATTCTGCATGCAAAGGTGACTTGTCATGAGAGGCTGCAAAAAATCGGAGGCAACTGGAAACTATAACGCCAATATAGTAATTCTATTAAAGTAAAAATGCGTAAAATTAAGAATATTATAAATAAAGAAGGTACAGTTTCGCTTCCAAGGTACAAATGAGAGTTTAGTCATGCCTTGAGTCTCAGCAAATGAATGATGAGGAAGAGCCTTTTTTTCACCAGCAAATAAACATCAAAATTCTTTACCATAATGAATCCAATAAAACGACGAAGTTTTTGAAAAATATGGGTTGTGAGCCAAAAATCAGCAAGTTAAAGAACACAAAGCAACATGTCTATCAATGTTGTCAGTAAAATATTTCAAAAACAAATTCAACTTTCACGACACAATTCAAAGACAAAAAGAGCTTCTGGTTTTTGCTTTGATTATTGAACATCATAAAATGATAGAAGATATGCTGACCCACTGGACCTAAAAAAGAAAGATAGAAACCTTGAATTTGAAATACCATGTACAGGTATGCATGACAGTTAATTTGGTCTAATCCATATGACTGAGTAAGAAAGTAATATAACAAAACAAGAAATAACATAAATGTAATCCTATGCCAAAAATTTATGACCATTATTCTAAAACTCTATTTATATAATTATCATTACAAAATTACACTCACTAATTGTAATGTTCCCATTAAGTAAATAGTTCTTTTTTTCCATTTTAGTATAATCAGATTGTTAAAATGACAACTGAAATAATCACATTTCACCAGTCAAAAAATCAAAACTTTTCAAATAATCTCATTCATTGTAAAATCTCAGTAATCCTAAAATCTAAAATTAAATTTGCCAAATTTACAATCTCACCCAATCCCCATATATACCCACCGGTCAGTCACCACTCTCACCACCACAAGCCTTGAAAACTCAAACCTTCCTCCGTTTCCCATTTTCCTAGTTCTATCCGATGGCAAACACCAGTACCAACTATTCACGGGTTGAACTTGTGGCCATCACGCACCAGGAGTGCCTGCACAACCACGCGGCAGCCCTCGGAGAATACATTCTCGACGGGTGTGCCCTTTTCCAGCCTGGCGGCCCGAACGGTAGCCCGACCTTCAAAAAGTGCGCCACCTGTGGCTGCCACCTCAACTTCCACAAGAGGGTGGAGGTCGAATTCCCCCACCCCAACAGGGTGGAAATCACAGATCTGCAAATTCGGGCCCCGGCCCTACAGCAAAACCCGGTCCGCCGGGCCCCAGAGCCCGAAATCCTCGATCTGCCCTCTCATGAACCTCAGATCCATGAGGAGGGGCCCGCGGGCCACAGGAGATTTCTGACGAGCGAACAGAAAGCGAGGCTGAGGGAGATCATAGAAAGCAATAATTGGAAGATGTTCCGGGATTATTCACCGGAGGAAGTCGAACAGGTGTGCGCAGAGGTCGGGATACCGAGGAAGTGCCTCAAGAATTGGGTCTCATCTGCTAGGCGTGAACGACGCCAGGCTGGCGAACGCTAGTTGGGTCTAGGGTTTGGGCACAAGAAGTTTAATAAAGAGTCGGTAGTCTTGGTAGGGTCCTGTTTTGGCAGATGGGATTCTTTCTATGTTCTTCTCCAGATGGCTGGTGGTTTCAAGTTGTCTATGTTATATATGAAATACTTGTTCCTTGTATTCAAATCTTTGGTGGATAGTGTTTTAAGTATATTATTACCTCATTTAATAGCTTATACTTTTGACAAATTACAATTTAAAAGAGAAAAGATATGGAAACAGATTCAACGACAAAAGACAGATTTCTAATTTGCATGGCTTGACGGGAGTGATGTAAAAAAAATGGAGATCATTAATATAAGTTTGGAGTCCGGTTCAAATTAAACTACATAGACACAAATCAATACAGAGTTACCGACATCGACACAGGTAATAAAAACGATGACAGAATACGTCTGTGTTCAAAAGGAATCGGACTCTCATGTTAGGATGTCCCTCTCATTCTAATTTCAATATTTTTTATTTAGATATGGAATTAGTTTAAGGAGATCTGGCTCCAAAAAGCAACAGCTGTGGTAAAAGTTTGTTCTGTCTCAACACTAAACTTATAAGAACTAGGAAATAATTATGCATAAAGTCAGATGATGACATGCACGTAGGAAATGATCAATACAGATTATGAAAGACGCTGTAGGTATAGAATATTTGACATTGATAGCAACGGTGCCATAATAAAGAAATAAGTTCAAATTGATTCAAATATTATTGTGTAAATGTGACTACATGTAATGATCTTTGCTGAGGTTCATGCAGAGGAAAATGGACTCTAAATTGGGTACGAGCATACCAGTTTTATAGCTCAACTAGTAACAAATGCATCTCGTTTCTTCTATTTGCATGAGATTAGAGAGGAGGAAAGATGACTGACAAATAATGGCAATGGCTAACAAATCCAGTAAATAATTCTTACTAGAAAACACTTGATTTTTGGAAATAGGGTTACTTACGAAATAAACAATCATTTCGGATGCTTTAGAATTTCGTCATCGAAGAAATGACAGCTGCAACAAAAACTAAACAGATTTGTGGCCATAACAATTTCAATCTACACCCGGGGAAGCATAAGTAAAGAAAGAAAACAGGAATGTAGGTGAACAATATTGACTATCCTTTGAATCTTTATTGTCTGCTTAAACATAGTAAGGTTTGTAAATTTCAAAGCAGAAAAGAAGAACCCTTCCATCAAACAACTTAAATTTATTGATGAGGCAATTACGAAACATAATAAGGACTTTACATCTTACCGCCCTAGGTTCTGAGAACAAATCCACTTGTCAAGCAGGTAAAATGTCATTATCTCTCACACCTGTAAGAAGTTCATAGCGTACAGCTGGAAACAAGAGACCAAAAGAATAAACTAAAGGTCCATTTGTCATTTTCCGCATACGTTGCCATGCAAATTGTCACTTCCCGGTTTTCATATATGGTTTCGGCAACTACAGAAAAAGAGACTTTTTATGGAGATAGAATCATAACTCATATTAAGGCCCCTTCTATTTAATTAATTACTCATATTTTTCGAAGTGGTGATTACCAAACAAGATAAAGGCATCAAGACTCACACCAAACATTTACAAAGAGCGACACGAGTCAAGAATGCATGACAATTAATACCATTATTCATAAATGCAGATCTGTTCGTAAGGTATTAACTAATTTTGTCGGTAAACAATAAACATAAATTTAAGAACAGATTAAATATACACTACAATAAATTTATAATAAATATAACCTAGTAATTTTATATTTTTTTTTTCAATTTAGCTATAGTCGAGCAATTATGTTGTTTGACCATTTACAAGCGAGCTTGCTCACGAGTTTCTAATAAACAAACACAAGGTTGTTCAAATTATGGCAGCTGATTTTGGCCTGCCGCCTTTTTATGCCATCCGCCATTGATAACACTGTTATTAGGCTCTAGGCTCCAAAGTTCATTCAGTTACTGTTTGTTTAACAAATGGACTCACACGACCAAAGACTCACCACATTCCATCTAAAGATTTCTACCGAAGGTACAATTCATTTACACATCCCTAATCTTAGTACTCTCAACTCCTGAAGAGAGAGCCTTTAGCGTCGATTTTCATAGCCAGTCACGAAAAGATTGCAGTATCCATAAGGTGACTTAAACATTGATACGATACTAATCATAGAGTAAAAAATCTCCTGTAAGAAAAGATTATAGACAGGAAACAAATTAGCTGGAATTCCGATGGGCACTGGACAATTTAGCAAAACGAAGTTTCAATGGGGCTAACATAAACATATATCCAGCCTAAAACGAGCATATCAACTGTAATTTGACAAAAATTTCAAATTCTCCGAGAAAAATCAAATTCAAATTATCCTAGAACTCAGGAAACAGGAGAATTTGCGAATGCTCAATCGAATGATGAATCATTGAAAACATACCTTAATTTTCGGAAACGAAAATACACCAAACTCGTTCATCGTTTCTTAAAGCTTTGGAAAATGAAAAAGAAAAGGCAGGTCGAGAATCGTTCGTCAATAAATTGAAATTGACCTACATTTGTGAAAGGGCAGCCTCGCTGATGAGGTTACCGGCTTAGGAAGTTTTACCGAAGATACCAATCTCTCCAAAAAATTATGGTATCTTGAAATATAATATTCTTTTTTTTTTATATATAAATAATTTTTTTGTACTATATTCGAAAAGAAAAGAAAAAAAAAATAAAATAAAATAAAAAACTTGTACTATACGTGTGTTGTTGGGATTTCCAAACTTAAGTATTTAATTTTTTTTTTTTTTTT